GCATGATTGTGTCGTGTAAGCTTGTTTTGTGTGAGAGCCGCTGTGGTTTTAGCAGAGAGATTAACTACCGGACCTAAGCTGGCCTCCAAACCTTGCCCTGCTGATGCCTCTGGCTCTTTGAAGTCTGACCATCATACCTGGCACAACCACAGTGGGAACTAGGCCGGTGTCAGGTCTAATCAGACTGTTCACTGCAGCCTAGCTAACTACGGGCTTCACTAATTGGCCCAATTGAGGATTAGACCTTTTGCTACAGATTCACGACAATAATTTAGTTAAATGATGTCCCCCCCATCTCTTCTAATTAAGATTCCAAAGTTGGAAGAAATAGGATTAGACAGAGTCTCACAACTGTGTTCCCCTTAAGGTGGTATGCACTTTTGATAGGTTCATTATGGCAATGTAAAATATATATAGTAAGAATTAAACCATTTCTAGAGATTCTGTGACACTCTTCTATGCCCATATGACTAAAGAATTAAAGTGAAAATATCTGTATAGTACATTTAAAATGTGAACATAAAAAATGACATTCTACTGTCAATTTTTGTTGTGTGTGTTTGTGTGTATGCATGTACATATGAGAGAGAGAGAGAGAGAGAGAGAGAGAGAGAGAGAGAGAGAGAGAGAGAGAGAGAGAGAGAAAATGAATTTCCGCATGTGAGCAGGCATGCAATGCACTTGTAGGTATATTCACCTTGCGAGAACATGGAGGCCAGGTGGTAACAGTAGGCATATTCCTCTATTTCTTCACCTCCTTATGTTTTGAGACAAGGTCCCTCAATGAACCTGAAGCTCTCACTTTTGGAAAGACTGGCTGGCCAGTGAGCCTCAGGGCTGGATCGGTCTGTCTCTGCCATCCCAGTGTTGGGGTTGCATGCATGGCCACATCTGGCTTTTACATGTGACTGGTGATATTTAGGTCCTCAAGCTTATGCAGCAGGCATCTTATCTACTGTGCCACTCCCTTCCGTTGGGTTAACTTTTGACAGTGACTACATTCAGATGAATAGACACCTATAGTTAATAGTTTAGTTTTGGTATACCTATGAATACAAGCTAACTTAAACAGTAATGAATATTTATCAAGGACAGTATTATCAGAAAACTTACATTAATTAGACTATATGGCCCATGACACTACAATTTAATAAGGTTTCCAAGTTGGATATTTATGAATTATTTCTGTAACATCACTGCGAACTAATAGGCAAGTTTCCCTTCTCTCTCTTCATCTTTCGGTATATTAAACATATTTCACTGTTCTATTTCTCATTAAAAAACTGAAAAGACCATAGAAAATAAATGTGGAGAAGTAAATCTAGAGCTGATGATACCATGCAATATTCTGAACTGTTAATGCGATCACAGTGACTAGTAGTGTGTGGGACTTCATAGTTTGCAAAATGTAAACATTTCAGATAATTCTATGAAGTTACATCAAGCTCTATTATAATATTATTAGGCTAATTTCTACCAATAGCACATGCAATGTTTGGTATTAATAGGTAAGAATGAATCTATTTACTAAGTACACTAAGAATAGCTAGTTTATAATAACTGGTTGACCAATTGTTTTGTGAGAGTATTTGAGGGCTCATATTCTGAACTGGCTTCCAAGTATCACAAGTTAATCTTGAATAATTTTGGTTTGTTTTGACAGAGTATGCTCTCAATACTTAGTCTATAAGACTCAGATACACTAATTATGTTGATTGTAACCTTTGGACCAGTTCAACCCCCCATAATTGTCCTTCCTCTTTTTACTGAACATTTGTAGTTACAGGATGTACCTTCTGTGAATTTCAGCACAAATCAATTGTCACACTTCCCAACTTGAATCTAGAAACTTGGATGCTTAGAGCTGAAAAACTGTCCCATAAGGAGGAAACTTCTTATAATAATTTTATAGATGCTGCAACTAATGTAATGATATATTATCACTTGTTAGGAAATTCAATTAGTAGAATGTGAAAGCTGAAAATACAAAATCAAAATGGTATTACATTCAAGTAAAATGCTGTTACTATGATATCACCAAATTCCATGTAGCCACACCTCAAATCCTACCATATTTACTTGAGTATGCATTATAAGAGCATCATAATATAAGGAAAAGTTAGTTAATGATAATACCAACATTATCAAAGAAGACAAATTGCCACACTTAAGATCATAAGTTTAGGCAGTCAGTTCAGCTCAGTGGTGAGGCTACTACAGAGTTAGAAATCCTAAAGTGGACCTTACGTGGTACGTACAGCTGTATCACTTAGGCCATTTAAAGACTCCATCCATAACCCCTTTCTACAGGATACATTCCAGCACATCCACCCATCTGCTGAGGACATGGCAGATAGCTACTTTAGTAACAGTGTCGTCACTCAGGGCTTCAGTGGCAGCACTGGAGACAGAACTCTGCTGTGCTTTTCTTAAGGTCTAACTTAAGCAGCTTTATAGTTAGAGAATTATATGAATCTATTGTGATAAATGCTTTCTTCCGAATCAAACCAATCAATACGTACTCCAAGGAGGAGAAAACACCATTCTGTCTCTGAGTCACTTACAGTTGGAAAGTACTGTGTTGCCCCTCCTGTCATGCACAAAGACCAGTGGCTAACTAGGCTTTAATAGCACCTGCTCGATCCCACACTGCCTTTGCTTCTTGTCTCCATCCACCCCTCATCAGTGACTCATGGGACTTCAGGTCCATCCCAAATTGTAGTAAGTCTGACTGCACAGAATCACAAGTTCCTTGTGCTTTATCCACCAAGCTAGGTTTTTCTTCTGGGAATAACACCCCAGTTCAAGCCCCAGAGCATTCCCACCTCAGACTTTTCAAGGAGTAGAGCTTGCATTTTATTTTTAAAAAATGTCAGAACATTAAAAAGATTTATGGCCCAGTGTGGCAGCGCACTCCTTTAATCCTAGCACATGGGAGGCAGAGGCAGGTGGACCTCTGTGAGTTTGAGGCCGCCTGGTCTACAGAGTGAGTTCTAAGACAGCCAGGGCTGATAGATAGAGAAACCCTGTCTTGAAAAACCAAAAGAACAAATAAACAAGATTTATGTATTTCTATTAGGTTGGTTATTTAAAATTGCTTTTACCTGAATTTTTATTTTATAAACTCCCAAATCTTTACTGACTAGATCAAACCAAAGTGACAAGGATTTAATTGACTATACTGAATATTAACTTCTTTAAAGGGTGACTGTTTATTTTCATTTTGTTTTCAAATACTGCTTCCAAACCACAAGATAACAATTTTGATTCTTTTAGTTTTGTGCAGAAGCAAGAAGCCTAAATGCTCTCATTTAGAACCTACAGCTATTCAAGGGGAGTAGTCTCACTTAACATTAAGCAGGTCATGTATTTCCCCCTTTTATGATCCCCATAAGACACTGTGAGCAATATCATAAACAGGATTCACATGATTATCTTACTTTGGGTACAATAACTTTCCCATTGAGGAATTCTCCTTGCTTAATTTGTACATAATAGAAATGATACCTTAGACATGCTTTAAAAATGATTGGAAAGAATATCACATGAAGAGAAAAAAATTATATCTTTCATTTGAAACATAAATTCAACTTAAAAAAGCAAGCATACTTTTGTCAGACAATAAGCTATAACCCAGTTCTCTAAATGTTTAAGATAGTAAGTCAGTCACTCAGTATTCCATCAGAAAAGCTGAGACAATGTTGGCCCAGTTACAGTCTTGGGTTCCATTTCAATGGTTTTCTTTGAGAAGTAAGGCAAATTAGCTCAAGACTCACTGTTCCTCCACACCCTTTTCGGGCTTGAAGTGGCTTTTGAACAGAGTTCTCCCCAGATGAGGAACTCCTAACACTCCTGCAGAGATGACCTGCCAGAAGAACTGGCTGCCTGATTAACTATTAACTGCTTTCAATAGGATTAGATAATTAAGGACATTGATGACCATTAATTAGGAGGAGGGCACATTAATTTGTCACAGGATAGGACCCTTATGATGATTTATAGGTTAGTGCTACTTGTAAATGTGAAGGGACAGAGAAAGAGAGAGAGAGCCATTAAGTTACCTTATCAAGTGGCCAGCTTAAAGAGGGCAGAGGGTCAAAGAAGGGCCAAAGTGGTCACTTTAAGGGTGAAGTCCCAAACACCAAAGCAGTGCCAAGCCACATTGACCATCATTTGGTGTTGAAGTTAAAAATATGCTAATTTATTGGTGGTAATTCTCTCTTTTTATGGTTTCAAGCAGTTAAGACAAGTGGCCTGCTTAAGAGCTTTTCATTTGAAAAGAGATTAAACAAAATGGTTTGTCAAGGCAGTTTGGCTGTTTTATGTCTTTGTTAAAAAAAATTGCACCAACTATACTGATAACTATCAACCACCCAAATGCCATCTCTCTGAACATTTACTTCGTTAATAAATATATCAAGCCTAATTGCTTAATAGTTCCACGTTCATTTGCTCTTTAGCAAGATTAAGCTGAAATAACTCTTTTGTATCCCTTCCTGTCCTCCTGCTTGCAGAAAGGTCACAAAATCTACATGTAGAAAATTTACTTACAGCCAGTAGTGTAACTCACACTTTAATTCAACAGTTTTAAGATTGAATTGTAATCTCCTTAATACTAAAAACAAAACAAACAACGGAAAAACCTTTAGGAGGTAGGGATGAAACTTCTCTTCTTATCCAAACACAGTTGTGGGTAGCATTCATAGTCCACACACAGTAAGCACAGCTCATTAACATTTAATTAAATGCTTTTGAAAGCCTGGGAGATACACACTGTTTTTATCATTTGAGTTTGGAGCTTATTTTTAATAGCTATTAAAACATTTTTTTTGCTGTACTTGAATAATAACATGATTAAAATGGAGGAAAACATAACAAAAATCAGTCTGTTATAACAAAAGTACTTAATTTGTAGCCTGAAATGTGTCTTAGATGTTTTATTAGAGTGAAAAGTAGGGGCGAGGGTAAGACAGTAAGCTAAAACGTAAAAATTCTCTTACCTCAATGGTGAACAGCTTCCTTTTTAACTTAAAAGCTAAGTCTTTGACATCCGATTCATCACAAGTCAAGTTATTAAGCCGCGGAATCTTCCGTATATGGATCAAACCTCATGGAAAGGAAGTTAAAAGACAAAGCCTTAAGTGCTGTCATCAGGGGCCTAAATTAAAGAGTCTTACAGCAGCATCTGTAAATTTACACACAAGCATCCTCCCTTTAAAACTGGAGCTGACTACCAGGAGCAGTGAAGCAAATGGTGTGATTATACTCAAGTAATCAAGCAGAATAAGATAAACAGAAATCCTTGAGCGAGGAAAACTAATTGCACTTTGGTTCAGGAGTACAGATGTAAAGAGGGATCTTAATACTTGTCAAAACTACAGCCGGTCTGCGTGTGATTTTCTTTCGTATTTACAGTAAGCAAATATGGCTATCACCTTGCATGCTGCCCACAGCACCACTGAGCGATCTTTATTTTATTAAATGCACCAGTAAGCAGCCAGCAAAACAAGGCTCTTGGGTTACTGATAACCTGCAAAACACCAATAATAAGTATTTCATTTTGTACACTGAAGAAAACTATATTTCAGCACAGTCTAAAATCAAACATTAGCCTGTATGCCATCCGGAAACACTGATTTTTATGGCACGTTAGGCCCTTATGTGGCCATTAGAAGCTCTGCAGCAACACTAGGTAAACCGTGAGCTCGGGGCCTCGTCAGCAGAAACACTTGCTAATCTTTCCTGACAAGGCACTGGAAGGCTTTTGTGTAGTTTCTGACTAAACTAGGGGTCAGTTCCCACAGATGAAGACATGGAAGGTTCTTCAGTGCACCTTTTTGCCTGACTCAGCTCATATTTAAAAATACCATCTCAGGGATACTGATCCCTGAACATGGAATATGAGATAGCAAATTTCAGATTAGAGCAGGCAAACCTTACTTACAGAACTGCTTGCTTATGTGTGTGTACATGGATGGTCACTAACGTATGCATGAGTTTAGATTTACAATGTAAGCCTTCAAGTAACTTCACTGTTACAAACAACTTCTTCAAAATAATTCATTAAAATAAGAATGCCTATATTTTAAATATATTATAATAAATTATTTGAGAATTTCATTGAATGTATTTTGATCATATTTACCTCCTACTTCTCATTAAGACTGTTAACAACTCATTAAGCTCTTAACAACTAAAATATCTCATACATACTTATTTAGTAAAATACACTTAACAGAGATAAGGACAGCACATTTCTCATTTTACCCTTATAGTATATGTGCTTGTTAGGTAATAAGTTAGAAGGCCTTATATAATTCATTAATTATTTTAAGGTTCTTCTTATTAATAGAAAACTTACAAATAATCAGAATTACTCTTATACATGGAGAATAATTTACTAATTCAGAGATTTTAGCACAAAGAATGACAGTTCAACCTTTGAACTGTTTTAACCAAAATATACGTAGAATATCAGTAAGTTTATAAATGAATGGCTATAAATGGTAATATAACTTACTAAGGTTAGCACCTAAATTGATTTTTTTAAAAGAAAATATAATAGTGATACACAACAATAACCAAATTAGTTTAGACCTCTTCTCATCATAGTGAAAAATGATTTATTTATCAAATAAATCTGACATAGGGTTAACCTGGACATATCTGCTCTGCGCATTTAGAGAGGTAAGCAATCACGCGGCCCACTGTTTTACTGTAGCTGTGGTTCACAACTTACAGTTGTGCAGCATTCAACAGAAGACTTGTTAGCTTCGGTTGTTTCATCATTGTTCTAAAGGCCGACTTCTAAAGCACTATCAATTATACAAAGCACCTTCATGCCCTTCTTACAGAGTCGTACGTGTTAGCAAACTAACTGCCTTGTTGTCACAAAGGTAGCAAACTTAAAGCAAGTTGGGAAGTCTTTAGTCTATTAGTTACATTTATTTAGAATACATAATTGGTAAAGGTGTTATTTATAACACTTTGTATTGAGTTTAGGCCCAAGATGCACATAAATACTAACCTTCTACTAGTCAAATCCTTATAAGAAAAAAAAAAAGATTTCTTAAAAAAATTTTCAATCAGCCAAATGACCAAAGTATTTTTAAAGTTTTAAAAAAGAGGATTGAGAATAGTCTTGAATGGTAGAATCTATACTTAGAATGCACAAGATCAGAGGTTTAATCTCTAGTATCAAAAGCAAATAAAACAAAACTGTAATGTAGTAAAATGCTAAGTCACTTCTTCTGGGTTTATGTCAGGGTGACAAAGTAGTATGTAACTCCCCCCATCCACCCCACTTAAGGTGCTAGTGCGGGGATTGAACCCATGGCCTTGTGCATATCAGGCAAATGTTCTACCACTGAGCTACATCTTAGTCCAGGATGCACCTTATGACACAGCTAGCTTTTAAAGTATAAACTTTTATACATATAATAGAAATGTTGCTAAGCTGTTACAGGTTGACCATTCATTATTCAAAATGCTTAGGACCAGAAGCATTTCATATTTTAGTTTTTAAAATTAGGGATATATGTAATATACTTATTTCAACTATGGTTGATATATATATGACTGATTTCATAGAAACGCTATGCATTGGCACAACAATACTTCAGACCCTGGGTTTGCTACATTCAATTATAATCTGCAATCTTAGTTTGACAAATAAATGGCTGAAATGGAATTAGTAAGCAGGAAGGGAAAAGATTTAACAGATGTGGGGTGCAATAAAATCCCCACTATGTTACAGCAGATGTTCTGACTAGACCAGGAGTATGCTCTCAGGTACGGAAGAAGCACTCAGAACATGTTCTGTTCATGAGAAAGATGATACTTACCATGATAATCCTTATATAATGGGTTGGTTTCACTCTCTGAACCAATAAAAGATTCCAGACCAACTACTGTATCTGACAAATTTCTCACACGAGTAGTAATTGCTCTATTCTGAAAAACACAGAAATAGAATTCTCATAATTAATTACAAAATAAACATCTATACAGAACCACTATTTTGAATACAAATTGTAGTGGAGATAAGAAATATTCATAAATAAAAGCTAAAGCTACTAGAGTCTGAAAAGCAGACGGAATAGTCTCCTAGTTGAATGGCTTGATCTATACAGGTATTCTATGTTAAAGAGTGGAAGGCAAGGTGAACGTATTAGACATATTGGAAACAGAGAGAAGTCTGGCTAAAGGGCTGCCACATGGCTAGTTCTGGAGTCTGCTGCATCCCTTCCCAGATACTACCATTGGCTCTAGAGCACAAGCAAAGGCAAAGAAACTATGACCAGCACTGACCAATGGCCAACACCTTCTTCCTGAACCCAGCTTGAGACGAACTCCACAGTGCTAAGCAGAACAGCTTGGGAAATGTACTGGTGCTAGATTAGAATACATCAACATGGTTCTAAGCACAGAAAATCCAATTCCTAGACAGTAATGACTCAAAAGTCCCCCCCCCGCCCCGAATTCATGGTTAAGAAAGCGAAATCATTGCAATTATTTTACTTAATAGAAATTCAGTATTTTTTGTAGCTTCTGACAGGGTGATAGCTAGAAAACCATAATCCTGTAAAACAATACATCAGGACATTTTTGCTCTACAGATACAGATTTGTTGAAACCAATCATTATTTGTGCAATTTTGGGACTCTCATTTTACAGACTGGTAGTATCCATTACTTTAAAAACTATTTAGAAGAAAAGAATGTGAGATGTAAGGCAGCCAAGAAAACTGGCCTGTTCAGTGCTATGTCTTCTGTTAAAGGAGAGACCACAAAGATTTTCATTTTGCAAAAGCTTCATGACTATTACTGGGTTTAGTGCTGTTCTTCTGTTTCTTAAGTGCCTCTGTAAAGACTGATGAGAGTGGACCTAAAAGAGGGTATGCTGATACTATATGATTCAAAGGGGATGCACAGCAGTTTGGGTTTCCAAACATTCTGCTGAAATAGTTGGTTAGCTCACACCTCAGGCAGTATTTGAAGCTCCTCCATAGAGGAGGGCATGTTGTGTGGAAGACGGTTCAGCCTCTAGTCTTTGGTCTTAAAAGGAGTGTAAAAAAGTTTTCTTTATCTTTAAAAAAACTTTCAATTATGTGGGCACACTAAGTATAGAATACATACAAAATCAGCAAATGGCTATTTTTCTTATGGCAATTCTTCACTCAATGGTGAGAAAATAATCCAGATTGATTCCTTCCTTTCAGTGCTGTGCCACAGGGAATGGTACTACTCCAGGAATAACAGGGGCTTCAGAGGCCAGAAACATCTCTCAATATTTCTTTAGCCAAAGACTATTATATCAAACTCATCCAGGTTGGGTTTCAGCCAGTTATTCTTCACCCAAACAAAAATGTCTGCCAGACATTCCAACAGCTGGGAGACAGTTCACAATGAGTCAACTTGAAAATGATTCATTGTGCTGAGTACTGAACAATGTTGGGATGGGGGTGGGGCGTGGCTGCGTTGGTAGGAAAGGGTGAGAACAAGTGGGAGATGAAGAAAAACCATGTGGTTCCCCCATCAGGAAGAATCTTGGATACTAACCAGCAGGCGCCTATCATTTCATTTTTAGTATAAATTCTACTGAGAAGAGTACTCATATCACGGACCTTCAGATGAGCAAGAGCTTATCAAGGCAACTGACAGTATTTCTTAATCAAAAGGTCAGATTTACTTTTATCTATAAATAAAAAGCAGAGTCTTTGTATCTAAATTCTAAGTTTGTTAGAGTTCACCTACTCAAGATTTCAGGCATATCAACTCGGGGCTTCTCAATTATATGATTAGCAGAACTGTAAGGTGTAAAGATGAACTGATTTCCACTCTAACAGTAAAGAAGCGCTGTGTATTTAAATGACTAACTGGACATTGCTATTTCCTTCTTTCAATTAACCCTAAAGTTAACTAATAAACCACTAAAAGGCTGTAATATTTATCAATCTTTTAGGTCTTTTTAAAAACAACTTATAAAACAAGTGATTAATTATATTCACTCAAGAAAACTAATAAATTCTAAATATAAAGTAGCATGTACAGCCTGATTTCAAAATTTCTCAGAGATATGTTCACTCATTCATGTATCTTACTTATTGTATTTCTAAGTTCTACATTTGTATCACTGTTATTAATTATAAACTAAAATCTATCTAAAAAGCTATCATCAAGCTTTATGCTAAGAATAAACATTTAATGATATTGTTATCATAAGAGAGGTTACATTGAACAGTGATCTTACTGCCTTCTGCACAGCTATTTGCAAAAGTTGGTGCAATGTGGCTAACCAGCTTAATTGTGAAAATTATACAAATATATGAAATCATCTATACAATAAGGATGGAAAATTATAAAAGAACAACATCTGTTTTCTGACGAAGATAACTTTATTTTTTTATAATAAACACAATGAGTCTCTACTTATTTATAGGAACATAAAAAGATAATTGAGCATGGAAATGATTTTTTTTTTAAAGATTAAAAAAGATGTGATTGCCTGTGTATGTTCAAGAGTAATTGTTCACCAATGTGGTATTATCTTAGAGCCGTGCTTATTACAAGGGCCTTCAAGTCTCTGTATTAATACTAAATGGTCTTTTATAGATAAAGATAGGTGAATTTACATAAAAGAACAAAAATTGATGCATTTAGAAAACCCTTGAAAGCATAATAATCACAATTCAGTTTGCTAGGAATACACTGTATGTAAAAATTATCATACAGTCAGTGGTGCTCTGAAATCGTTAGCATAGTGCCCAGAGTAGGGATTTTGACATTAAACTTCTCCATTCCTTTCCTCCCGGACTCTAAGCACTTTTATTTATTAGCAAAGATGTGAAACTTTCTGGTTTTCAGTTGCAATGAAGAAGTGACAGAATCTACCATCAAGACCTAAGAACACATACAATATTTCTATTTTAATTTTGGAATTGCTAAATTAAAGTTTCAAGGGAGGAATATTTGAATAAGGATATCAGAACTTAGCCATTATGACTAAATTAATGGTTATAGTGCACATGTGCCACAGTGACATCACCCAAGTATGTACAATGATATTGCCACCCCTCCTCCTTGCCCATCTGGATAGGAAAATCTAGGATGACTCAAAAATCCTTCTTCTTCTAGACAAATCTCCCTTTGCTCCTGGGTGAAGGTTGTCAGCTCTGGATAGGAGCCAAGACATGACTAGGAGGGAAGCCAGAAGAGAAGAGAGCTGGTGTCTAGGAGTTTTAAGAGTTTGCTGGCAATCTCGGAGGGCATTGTCATAAGTTGCAGAAAGGGCCCTTAATATTCTCTGTTCCAGTGTAACTTCTTAATTGTGTAAATTCAACTCACATCAGATGCTGCTGCAAATAAACAAGACGAACTACACTACTCAGTTGTCGGCCATTTTATTGTAATTTAGATTCACAAGAACCTGGTGAGTTTTTGCTTTGACTGTTGCTTGTTTGCTTTTAAAGAATGGTAGCACATTTTCATTTAAGATATATCAAATCTATGAAATGGATTTTAAATTCTCAAAGATTAATTTAATACTTCCTTTCAACTCAAAGCTAATAAAGTTAAAGTAGGAATTTGAAAGTAAAAATTCCACTACTGTCATGTAAAGCTAGCACAATTGTTCTAACACAAATCTAAGCTATCAGTTAGCAGGGACAGTGACACTTTAAACTCTGAACATTCCTTTACTTTGATGACACTAATTACCACAACAATAAAAAGGACACAATTTGTGCCAGCACAGAATAAATTTCTAGTAAATATTTTAACTTGAGGATTAAAGAGTAATCAGTTTTTTAATTTCCAAGAGACTTCCGAGGAATAAACCAATTGAAATAAAGCATACATACATTGTCTCAAGAATACACTCGGGTTCTTCATTTATACTATCTAAGAAAGATAGCAAAGAATATGAGAGAAAAGCTCCCATTTGAGGGTGGCATGAACATTAGATCTGGACAAAGCATGGCTCCAGTTGGAGAAGGAAATAATTCCTTTCTGTTTGGCCGGTATATGACAGGAGGTGTACATGTGCATGGAGAACTCCCACAATTGAGCTTGGGATACCAAACCTTTTTTGAAAAATGCACACATTTCTTTGTTATGAAATCCAACACTAAAGTTAAACAAAGGACAAATCCAGGGATATTTGAGGAAGAATACTTTTCATAATTTCTTATGTGCTCAATTATATTAAAATGAAGACTATGAAACAATATGATTTTGACAATTCTGTTTATTATTTTTGAGCTTAATAAAGAATGTAATTTTATCTGATAAAATTATACTAATAGACTTACAATGTCTATTAAATTAAATCATTACAGATTTAATGCTTTTATTAAAGTTCACAGCTTATTTTAGAATATAGAGAAAACTTTTTGTAAATAATGTAATTTAAGTGGAACCTATCTCTTGGTATCATCTCATAATAACATTCATGCAAGGAAATAATAAAACTACCATTTTTTCCCTAAAGCTTAAAACATTGCACAAAGGAGCTGAAGGCAAATATATTTCAGCTTAAGGAGAAAGAAACAGTTGCATTTTTCATGTCTTACTAGTAAAAGGCAATGAAACCACATGTTTTTGTGTGCTCTATCTGATCTCTCACTTAGTATTCTAACTTTGTTTTGAAAAGGCTGGTTCCTGGTTTTAGAGCATGATTTTAGAAATACCATTTGTTTACAAGGGCAGAGTATATATTTATACAAGTTTTGCTTGTTTTTCAGTCAACATTCAACATTGATATAAAACATTAATAGAACATGTTCTAAATACTCAGAAATGGAATGCAGAAAATAAAAGGTAGGCTAGAATAAATAATGGTATATAGTATTCAAAATCAATTTCAAGCTCTCCCCAAGACTTTTTGCCATCTATTTTTACAATATGGAAGTTAATCAGATACCTTGGTTCTTTATGTAAAAAAATGTTTCAAGT